GATTCCCATCTCTGTGGAGTGCAGCTTGTGTGTTCACCTCCTGTGAACTCCTTGAGGCCCAGTGTCAATATTGCTCCCAGGAAGCCTGCCTGATGCCCTGACCCACACTGATGCTATAACAGATCCTACACAACAGTCTCGAGCCCCTGCTGGTGTGGAGAGCATCTGCACGCTTCACCTTGTTTCATCCTTACTGTGAGCCTGTGCGTTTCATGGAACACCCCACCGCTTTTTTTCAGATGAGGAAAGTGAGGTGGAGAGAAACTAAGCAACCTGCCCAGGCTCCCATGGCAGAATGAGGATTCAAACCGGATCTGTCTGACCACACACCTAATGCCTTTCCGTTGCATCGTTATGCTCACCTGCCGCGGGCCTGCCTGGGAGGGGCACTTAGAGCAGAGCTTCTCAAATGTGACTGTGCACCTGGGAATCTTGCTGAGATGAGATTCTGATTCAGGACGTCAGGGCTGGGATCTGGGATTCTGCATTTCTAACAAGCTCCCAAGTGACCCCAATGCTTCTGGTCTGAGAACCACAGTTCGAGAAGCAGGAGTTTAGAGCAGCCCTCTCATTCTGTGGCAGAAGAAACTGAGGCTTAGAGAAGTGGAAAGACTTACTTAAAGCCACATAGCAGCTTAGTGGAAGAGGCAGGATGGGACTCAGGGACCCTGACTCCAGTTAGCTGTGTTAGCTGTTAAGCTACTGCCTCTCAGCTCCAACCCCTCCTTTCTACACTTGGCTTTGGATGCTCGAGCTGGGACTCGGCAGACCACATTCTTCTGCTTTGCCTGCTGGCCCCATGTTAGGATCTGTGCATGTGCTCAAGAGACAGGAGGTGGGGGTGGGGGGACTCCTCAACCATCAACCGGAGGAGGCGGGAGAAGGGACTTGCCCTTTCCTGAGGACTGCTTTCCTCTTTCTGGGAGCATCGCCCCAGCCGTACTTCTTTGCAGTAGCAGCTCCTCCCGTAGCAGCGCTGGATCCGGTTTGCAGTTCTCCCAATACTTGCAAAACATCCTCATCATGCCTCAGCCTCACGGGCACCAGCACCGGTGACCACACCCCTTCCCCAGGGGTTGGTCCCAGGCCCACGGAGCCCTCCTCCAAGTGTTTACTCCGAGTAATTCCAACCTCTTCTCTTTGTCCCCCCAGCCCTGGGAGGGAGGCAGCTTCTCGCCCTTGCTTCCTCCGTGATAGCTGTTTTCTTCTTGACTTTTCAGTTACTGAGTCAATAACTGTAACCCACCTTAGATTTGTTTTTTTTTTTGGTGAGGAAGATCAGCCCTGAGCTAACATCTGTTAGCTCTTTTTGCTGAGGAAGATTGACCCTGGGCTAACATCCGTGCCCATCTTCCTCTACTTTATATGGGATGCCAGCACAGCATGGCTTGACAAGCGGTGTGTAGGTCTGCACCGGGGATCCAAACCTGCAAACCCAGGGCCACTGAAACAGAGCGCGTGAACTTAACTACTACGCCACGGGGCCAGCCCCCAGCTTACACTTCTGTATACTAAATTCTCTCTGTTAAAATAATTGGAACTTAACTAATATACTCTATGATATGTTAATTTAAAAATACATAAAACGTCCCCACTTGACTCTGAATTCCCAGAAGGCAGCCAGTGGGTTATTGTGATGAGTCCAGCATTGACTGCAGTGAGTGCCTGGTGCATAGCAGCAAATGCGCGCGCGCGCGCGCGCGCGCACACACACACACACACACACACACACACACACACACACACACACAGACACACAGAATGGATGAAGCTGTTATATGCTTTTCTCTTAATTCTAGATCCATAGAAGGGGCTTATTATAAAATATATGCTGGTTGAATTGAATACAAATTTTTGGCTTTCTAGAGGTGGCAAGGAATGAAAAAAATCCAGGTTTTAGAATCAACAGGACTTGGGCTTCTAATTGCAGCTTTCACATTTATTCGGCAAATTGCTTACACCTGCTCTCCATTTCCTCCTCTGGAAGGTGGAGATAATGCCGACGTTTGGGTTGTTGTTAGAAGTAATGCAGGCAGAGGGCTGGCGGTGTGGTTGGAGCCCACTGTGGGAGCTGCCGGGGCTCGGTATGTTAACGGGGGTTGAGTCGATGTTCTCCCCAGGCTCTGGCAGGGAAGAACAAGAAGCACATGGTGAACTAGGAAGATTAAATTGTCCATGAAGATGAGATAAATGGGAGGTAATTTTCTGACGACGTACGGATGGGGAGGGACTCGAGGCCTTAAGGCTTCTTGGAGGTTTGGGGTTTATGAGGAGCCTGGTGCCCACAGAGGGGCCATTCAGCTCACAAAGACGAGGACCCTCCACGTGCCACACCCAGGGCCGGGCACTAGGGGTGCAGAGACGAACAGGACAGCGTTGTCATCTTGGAAGCACACAGGACATTCAATCAAGTTATTCAACCTGCATCACCGAGGGACGCCTGGCTGCCGGGCCCTGGGCCAGGGGCTGGGGCTACACAGGAGAATGAAAGTAGGCTCTGACCTCAGGAATTCAGAATTGAATAAGGGGCAAGTGAGGCTCCACCAGGTTCCTCATAACTCCAAAGAATAACAGGCATATAAAGCTTGGAGGACACCCTGCCGCTTAAAGGGCCCTGCTGCCTCCCATTCTCCCTCTCCAACCCATCCCCTAACTCGCTGCCGCTGCCTTCCTACCCCTGACGCTCAGCCCTGACCCGGAAAGGAGCTTAGTGGCTCAGAGCTCTGGCTCAGGAGACGGGCATGTCTGGGTTCGAATTCCATCTCCTCTGCTTGTTCCCTGTGTGGCCCTGAGCAAGGCCAAGCCAGATTTCATCTGCAAAATGGAACAATACATGACCTCACAGGGATGTGGTGACGGGTGAAGGAGACAACGTGTGGAAACGCCCAGCACAGCACCTGGCACATGCTCCGTGCTCAGTAAATGCTCGTTATTCTCAGCAGCCTTTATCAAAGGCATAGTCTGTGATGATAGGCCTCATCATCTCAATTAACACGCAGATAATCCTGCAACGTGAGAATTACGTGTCCTTTTGAGCAGAGTGTTAATTCCCCATTTCTTCTGTTTCTGTGGAGGAATGGGACCTCCACCTCACGCCCAGGGAGGGACTTATCAGCTGGGGAGGTTTTAGAGGAAGACGTGAGCATGGGGTTCTCTCTTTTTTGGAAAGGCCTGTCCTTGGCATATACAGGTTGTCCGACTTCAATACCTAGTTCTTTCCGTTACCTGATGCTGCCTCTCTCCATTCTGTCCTGCTTCTCACGTCGCACAGCTGTTCAAAATCCTCCAGGGGCCCCGCCACCTGCAGAATAAAGCCCCGACTCCTTATCCCGGCGTTCAAGGCCCTCCAATTGTGGCCAACCCTACCTCACAGGGCTTTATCCTCATTTGCTCCACAGCATGCCCCATGAGCTCAGGGCTGGCCTCGGGGGCGGGTGTGTTCTCTGAGCTCTTCCCTGCCGTGGGGCAACGTGAACAAAGTCACCTTAGATGTATTCTTTCAACTAATTCTTTTGCTGCCGTGGCGCATGCGTGCGGCCTGCATCCTCAAACCCCGATCCTCTCAGACCACCCACTGCTGAACCAACCCCTGCCCACATTTGGGGCAAACTTCTGACTTGTGAGCCTTGGAGGGAGGCAAGTGCTATAGAGAGAGGCTGAAGAGGCCAGATCCTTGCCTTCTCAGGCTCCCTTGCAATCAGAGGCATCTGGCCCAGACTCTGACCCAGCCCCTGGGGACCGAGGAAGCCGGGATCGTGTGGGCTCTGTCAGGGTGAGGGTGGTGGCAGCGGCGGCAGCAGCTGCATTTGGTTTCCTGAGGGCCTGATCAGGGTATTGGCCCTGCAGAGCCACAGTCAATGTCCTGTGGCAGCAGTGGGGCCCTCGGAGGCCTTGTTCAAGGCTGTGTAGCCTCTCCGCCTGGTTCTCCTGCCCTCCAGACATGCAGAGACATCAGGGTCCTTTCACGCATTCCTTTTCTGTTTACATATCTGGGGTTGGGTTATGTTGCTCACAAATCAACCTCACTGCGAATGCCCTGGGCGCTGGGGACGTAGACAGAAAGAAGGCTTGGTTCCTGTTCTCAAGGACACCAGTTTAGTGGTGGTTGTGGGGCAACATGTAGACAAAGTCACCTTATATGTATTCTTTCAACTAATTCTTTTGCAAGTCAGCTCTGTGCTAAGTACCCTGCAACATGAACTGTACAGTGGTCGAGGCTGAAAATAAGGCAGAGAAGGGCAATAAATCTGCTTTTTCTTCCCGTCTATCTGGGCCAAGGGAAACCATGCCTATTCCTCTAAGTAAGATCAATCACTGTGAAGCCCTCTGATCACACCCCGTGCCGCCCTCCAGCTTCCGGCGGAGTCCTGTCACTCCCTCCTTAAACCCTGGTTGCTCTTTTCACGTTCGTGAGCGATCTATCACACACCCTGGTGAGGTCAGCTCAGGGAACACTGCTTGAGAGGACCATGTGCCAAGCACCATGCTGGACTCTGGGTAGAGAGAAATAATCGTAAGCGCTCGACACGTGGCAGTGATGAGCCAGCCACATTACAGGCATTATCTCATTTCTTCTGTCAACGATTCTACGAATAGGTGCTATTAATCTAACTTTATAGATGAAGGCTGAGGGGCCTGGCTCAGAGTTATGGAGCCGTTTAAAGGCAGAGTCAGGATTTGAAACCAGGTCGCTCTGACTTTGAACCCACAGCATGAGACAGTTCAGGTGAAGTGAGGAGCGTGATGTTCCTGTCTGTTCTATGTGCTCCTCATAGACACACGCCAGGCTCCGTGTGTACTGTCTGGCCTGGAACAGCCACAGAAAGTCCTATGTGAAACCCACTAAGGCTGTAGGGGTGGCCACCAGAGAAAGGTGTACATTGACACATCTGGGGACTAAGTGCACTGGGAAAGATGGTGTCTTTAACAACTGAACAGGAGTCTAGAAAGTGAAGAGCACTCTAAAACTCTTTGAATGAACTTGAGATACAATGACAAGGATGACGATGGTGGTGGAAGTTGTGGTAGAAGTGACGGCAGCGGTAATGATGGTGGTGCTGGTGCTGGTGATCATGAGGGTAACTGAGGTGGTGGTAGAGGTGTTGGTAGTAGTGAAGCTGGTGGTGATGCTGGTAGTGTTGGTAGTGGAGACAGTGGTGGTGATGGTGCTGATGGTGGTGGTGACAGTGCTGGTGCTGATGGTGATAATGGCGGTAGTAATACGGTTGTGGTTGTGATGGTGGTGGTGATGGTAGAAGAGCTGGTGGTGATTATGGTGATGCTGATGGTGGTTATGGTGATGATGGTAGTAACTGGTGGTGGTGATGATGGCAGTACTGGTGGCAGTGGTGGTGGTGAGGATAGTAGTTATGATGGAGATGTGATTGTGGTGTGACAGTGGTGGAGGTGGTGATAATGTCAGTGGTGATCACAATGACGATGATGATCACGGTGAAGGCGTAAAAGTGGAAGGAGCACAGGAGTCAAGATTTAGACTGACTTGAGTTCAAATCCCAGCTGCACCAATTACTTGCTCTATTACCTGGAGCAAGTTAATTACTTCTTTCTTTGAGCCTCAATTTCCTCGCCTGTCAAATGAGAGGATCGAACCGAATCCATTTATTATTCAATCATCAGACATTAACTGAGCATCATTAGGTGACCAGCACTGTGCAGTTACTAGGGATTCAACCAACTTGTAGTTCAATAAAGTTATCAGAGAATACACAACTGAAGTGTGTGCTTAATCAGCACGAAAGCGCTGAAACAGAACACAGAGGAGCGAGTGACAGATGTTCTGGAGTTGGGGGTGGGTGGTGTTTCACAGAGGTGACCTGGCCTTTTAGGTGGGCATAATCCCATTAGGCAGAGGAGGGGGAAGCTTCCAGGGAGCCATGTCTGAGCAAAGGTGCAGAGCAGCGAGGGAGCACGGAGAGTTGGTGAACTCTCCAGACTGATGAAGAGAGGGGTAAGGTGGGAGAGGGGACTGAATATCTTGATTGGCCCCAAACGATCGATTTCAGTGCTTCTCCTTGTTTGGCCGTCTATGATAGTGTTAATTTCAGCCAGTGGAATTCCTGGTGTTCTGTGGGCATAAATACAGTTTTCTCTTGAAAATAGAGGGGATGCCACCCACTATCAGATGACACATCTGGGCATTCCAGAAAGCTGTTGGCCAGAGGCCAGGACACGCCCAAGGCTGGTGCTGCTGTTTATCTCCCCTGGAAAGAGCGAGAGTGAGAGCAACCTTACAGCTGGCTTGAGATTTTAACTACAGGCATTCAAGAGCAGTTCAATTCTGCTGTGTCAGGCCTTTCTTTCTCTCTCTTTCCCGCCCCACCCCTCTGTGTTCCTCCCTTTCTTCTCAGAAATGGGTTCTGGCTAATCCAAGAGGAGAAGGAGGGTGTCGGGATGGAGCCAGATTTTGACAGGAAGTAAGGGAGGGCAAGTACGGCCAAGATTCTGCCTATCAAGTGTCTGCTGAGGGAGGAAGCCATTCTGACACTGCCCCCTGGACACTCGCTGCCAGGCCACTGAAGACCTGACCCTGGTCCTCAGTAATTCCTACTGACCAGATATCTTTCAAAGGTCAAAGCTGGGAAGGAGCAGCTAATCAGCTACACTAGGGATTGGCCTGCACTCCAGTGCCAGGGGGCTGGAGGGCACTCTCTCTCCTCCTTACATTTCCTGCCTATTCCCCCTGTTAAGGGGTTCCCACAGTATATGAAGGATGTTCAGATGCCGGATAGCTGTTGGATTTTTAGGATTTGCCTTTATTAATTTTATACTGAATGTGCACACACAGTGACTAGATCAGATAGATTGTCATTATTCACTTAAAAGGCAGATAATGATCACTGAGCTCCCCACACCCCAATTCTCACTCCTGAGGTGATATGATAAAAGCCGGAAAAATCTCCTACGCTACAAAGTTTGTATCAAAGTTGAGAAATGAATTTTCTCTGCTCACAAAGGGGAAGGAGGCAGTTGTCCCCTGCCCCTCCTGAGAGGGTCTCTGTGAAAACCTGATGGGCCTGAGTCCTTCCTGCAGCCCTTCGGTATGTAAGTTGGTCTCTCCGGGGGCTGGGTACACGGAGAGGCTCCATTCTCCCTGGAAACGTAAATATATTCCTCCAGGATTAGGTACGTCTCTCTGGAGTTCTCTCATATCTATATATTTGCAAATAACTTTAAGGTTTGCTCTTAGGTCCGTCCCAGGTTTTAGGAAAATTTGTTTGGAAAGCCCTAACTGCAAAAACACGGAAATATCTTCCCTATGCTCCACGGCAACCAAAGGGACAGCCGTTGGCCACATCTGTAAACATTCACTAAGGCCCATACTGCGCAGGCTCTGTGTCGGGCACTAGAGATAGGCAGGGAATAAGCCATGACCCCTGCCCTCTGCTCCAGATGGGGGAGAAACCCTGTTCCGAGCCCCGTGTAAGCACCCCCGCCCCGCATCTGCTTAGCCCATCTGCCTTGCTTCCTGGCCAGAGTAGCCTTAGCGACAACTCCTACCTCCCAGTGGTCTTACAGCCTGGACACTGTCATCACAGGCTGAGGAGCCCCATGTCAGCCGACAAGGACAGACTGCTGCTCCTGCCCGCTGGCTGCACTGACCCCACCTGCAGAGGCCCCGGCTTTCCCCGCAGCTTCCAGGGGGGCCAAGTAACACAACCTGGCCTTGCAGGGGGTTAACGCCCAGGGGTAGACCTTGACCAGAGAGCAGGAGACAGGAACAATTCAACAAATTGCTCGCTCCATGCCTTCCATCCTCCAGGGCTGTTCCAAGATGGAGAGAGTCTGTCTTGGTCTGCTCGGGCTCCATAACAAAATCCCACAGACTGGGGGGTCTTAAACAACAGACATCTATTTCTCACAGTTCTAGAGGCTGGAAGTCTGAGATCAAGGTGCCAGCAGGGTCGGATCCTGGTGAGAGCCACTTCCAGGCCTGCAGACGGCTGCTTTCTTTTGTGCCCTCACTTGGTGGAGAGAGAGAGAGGAAGCAAGCTCTCTGGTGTCTTATGAGGGCACTAATCCCATCATGGGGCCCCACCCTCATGACCTCATCTAAACCTATTACCTACTGAAGGGCCCACCTCCAAATACCATCACATTGGGGGTTAGGGCTTCAACATATGAATTTGTGGAGACACAGCTCAGTCTGGAGCAGAGTCTGTGTGACTTCTGTAGCCCCTGTGTTTACTCCCTCCTTCCTTGCCTCGTTCCCCTTTCCCCTCACTCTGGCTTCCCTGGGGTGGCACCCTTTATGAAGCTGTTGCCTCACTTCTCTGTGTAAGTGACCGGGGCTAAGACAGATACACAATCCAGCAGTGTGCTGGGAGGAGCACAAAACCGTACGCAGGGTACAGAAGCAACACAAGCGAGGAAGTGGTTTCCTTGGGCATTTGCGGGGGTAGATAAAGCAGGATAAGCCTCACAAAGAAGAAAGAGCTGAACTGGGTCTTGAAGGAGGGATTCATTCATTCAGTAAAGACCGTTGGACACCCAACTGCCAGGTCTGTTCTAGGTGCAGGAATACAGCCGTGAACAAAACAGACCAAAATCCTCCCCCATGGAACTTAGGGAATTTGTGTGGGTGGAGTCAAATTACACATAGACAGACAGACACCCAGCCCTCTGCAGGAGCTGGGGAGGAGAGGGAAAGGGAGCACAAGAAGGATGGGCTCTGACCGCCAAGGTTGGGGCTGGCTCTGCCCTCCCTGGGGCGTAGAGCAGTCTCTCACCTGCAGGCACGTGTGAGGGGTCTGGGGTGCTCTCCTGCATTCTGTTTCTCTGGCCAATGCTCCTCTCCTCAGCGCCTGGTCTTCCCTCCTGTCAGAACCCCAGACCCTCAGCTGGAGCCCGTCACCCCCTGGGCAGCCCCCTTGCAGGAGTCACCCAGGCTCCAGCAGGCTCTGTCCGTGGCCCAGTGGGTGTGGGGCCACCCTGGAGCCCTCGGAGCTGCCCTGAGGGAGAGGCCACGTCTGCTGTCCACTCTGCTGCAGCCTCCTCAGCTCTGCAGCCGGGAGTCTTGCCAACCAAGTCTAGGGGACTGAGAGGACCCCACAAGTCCTCCTCTCTGGAACTGAGGTGAAGGAAATAGTACAGCACATCAGCAGCTGTCTCCAAAGGAGGTCTTCACGGTCACCCCTTCCGAATCCACCCTTTCAGATCCTCTGTGTTAGTTTTCTATGGCCGTGCAACAAATTACCACCAATGCAACAGCTTAAAGCCAGACAGATTTATCATCTCACTGTTCTCTAGGGTAGAAGGCCACCGTGGCTCCACTGGTTTCTCTGCCCAGGGGCTCACGAGGCTGGAGTCAGGGTGTCAGCAGGTTGGGCTCCTGTCTGGAGTCTCTGGGGAAGAGTCACTTCCAAGCTCGTCTCTGGCAGAATTCAGGTCCTCGCGGTTGTAGGACTGAGGTCCTGTTTCCTTGCTGGCTGTCGGCCAGGGCCTCTCTCTCAACTCCCCAAGGCACTCCCATGCCTTCTCACGTGGCCCCGCCACCTTCAGCAGTGAGATGTCAAACTCCCCCCATCCCCCACCCCGTGAGTCTCTTTGCCTTTCTCTTCTGCTGCCAGTGGAGAACTTCTCGGTGATTACATTAAGCCCACCCGAGTCATCTTCCATTCTTAAGGTCAACTGTGCCCTATAACACAGTCATAAGGGTGTTATCTCATCATATTCACAGTTCCAGGGATGGAAATATGGCGGCATTTTTAGAACTCGCACCTTCCAAGCAGGACTGATGCTTCACTGGTATGCACCAGTGTGGCTGTGCTGGTTGCTAAAACATTGAAATATTTCCATGCCAGCTAGCAAAAAGCTGCTTCCCCAATATGCCTTCCCTCACAGGTACCCGGGTCACTCCTCCTGGGGTCCCCACACCCTGGACCTCCCCATGATTCGGTAAGTAAAGAGGTAACACTGGGCACCTCAGGGAACTTTCAGGAACCTGCCCCAGCACCTCAGTTTCTGTTCTGTGGGTTAGTGCCTTAATGGTGTTACATACTTTGAATAACACCTTATCCCCAAGTGCAGGAATAAGAAAATCCGTTCCAGAACATTCAAATTTTGCATCTTGGTATTTGTCATATCACTTTGGTATTTGATATTGATTGTATCTCGGTATCTTATTCAAAATTTCCATCTTAATATCATGTTATGCTCATTTAATCTTCTCGTCCAATTTAATCCTTGAAACTAC